CACTCCCTTCTTGATCATGTCACCTTTCACGCAATCCATCCATCTCTTTCTAGGTCTACCTCTACCGATGTACCTCCACATTCATACCTAATATCCTTCTTGTTACATGCGATTCATCCCTTCTCATAACATGCTCAACCACTGGGGCTACTCTCAAACTTCCTCTAATATACTCATTTTGTATCTTATCCAATCGTGTTAGGCCACACATCCATCTTAACATTCTCATTTCTGCTACATGTATTCTCCTTTCATCCGTCCCTTTTATTGCCCAACATTCAGATCCATACATCATGACAGGTGTTACGATGGTTTTATTTAGTGGCGAACTATGTTAAAATTTTTTCTACTAGATAGGTTTAATGTTAATGTTAAAGACCAGGGTTGCCTTTTACCTTCGAGAATTCTTGTAACTACTCGGTTTCGCTTTCGGACCAATTACGAGGCGATTTCTAAGCAGCTGCTAGGTTGAACAAAATTTGTCCTGACTCGGTTGACATCGACAGAGTGCCCAGGCACAAGTGATATTTCATTTTTCATCTTTGTTTAGAGTATTATGTCCCAGGTGCATGCGTAATATCAAAAAAACGTTAACGCCCTTTAACTTTCGTTAAATTAAATCTCCGTTAATTTAGTCCGTTTAATTGTTACATTAGATGCTTCTTGACTGCTATCATTTTGTTATAATAAAACGCACAACACCGCGCTCGTATGTACGGCGACTGGCGGAGAATCGAACGATGAACGAACAACTTGAATAAGGTAATCCAGCCTGTCAACGCGGCCACACGAGGTAACGAGACTGCTAGACCGTGTGGTAGAAGAAAATGCATTTGTGTCTCCTCGACTTGTCTCGCCGCACGTCGCTCTTAATCTCCTTATCAAGCGATGGTGCTAGGAATTCAAACATACTCTTGCGCTCGCTGAATTGTTTTACACCGCTGCAGCTGCAGTGTAAGGATATTTTTGTTTAGTGTCTATTGGCGACATTTTTGAAAATGGTGCTTAAGAAAAATTAGTTATACGAAAGATATTTATAGATCCTTTTTATGAGTTACAAAAAATAATGGCAATTGCAAAGAGAACAAGTAAAAATAAATTAAAACCGCAAAAAACAAAATATGAACGCAAATAAACATCCCTCGACAACAAGGGGACAACAACAAAAGGGATGTAAACATTACTTTGGTTTGAATGTCGTATTTTGTTGGTATTTTGGTCTTTAAATTATACAATAAAATTATTTTTTAAACCATAAACAAAAACCAAATGGCCAGTCGCACAGGAGAACGAACGAGAAGTAACCACTGACTTATGGCTCCTAAACTTTTATAAATGCACTTGCGCTCTACGAAGACTTTCTTTGTTTACTAACAAATCAAATAAATAAGTAGACAAATGATATTGAAACAATAACAAATATATATATGCAATAGTGTCACCCCTATTGTGTAGGAACCCGCACTACTGAAACATGCAGCATACTGGATGTTACACTACAGGAATCCAAGCAGAGGGGGACGAGTCTCGGTCGATCTTGTGAACATTTTACTGTTGTGTACACGCATTGCGTCAATAGCTGGCACGTGCCAGTAACAGTCTTGCTGCCTACTACTCCTTTGTACTGGCATAGATATTCTCGCACTTAAAGTGTAGATTAGAAGTAGTTAAATTAAAGCGTTTTTTATTGTTTTATTTATTTATTTCCCTCAGCTGAAATGTATGTATTTCATGATTAACTTTAACTAACGTTAAATTTTTCGAAAATTATCGCTGTAACGATTAACGAAGTTAAGGTTTTGATTACCTGAGCCCACCTCAGCTTATTATGTGAAATGAAAACATGACATAAACGGGTAATTTGCTTCCCGGTGAAGCAAGCTGTGCAGACATTGGCACCTCGAGCTACTACGATATGTTATATTCAAGCTTAGGTCATACAAAAGATAATAATTATGAAACAACAAAACCAGAGCTGAGATGCCTT